AACTCATTCTCTGCCAGCAGGAGGCGCTGTTGGAGTGGTAGAGATTAGGGTTTCCCCGGTAACGGCTGTACACAAAGCAGCGCTCCACTCAAAAAACACTGATTTATCAGACATTACATGCAAGATTAAATGAAAATTCATCCAATTTTCTGGAGACAGTCGGTTTCTTTCAGAAATACAGTGATATAAAAACACCCGCACTCAATGTATGGGAAACACTGAAGTCTCATAATTGAAGTGTAAATTCTGCAGATCACATCATTGTCCAGTATTGTACTGTCAGCAATTTATTATAAAAACGTTTTCATAATTGTAACATACATATTTACATACATAATTATTCAGGTGCATGTGTAATAACTTGCGAAAACTTGAGGCTACAGCAGCGCTTCTTCTTCGTCGTCTTGTCTGATGCACTCAACCAAGCATTCTAACCACGGCCTCGCCCCTCCCCACCCCCCAACCTTTCGAATTTCCATAGGCCGGGATTATTTTAATGATATTCTAATGGGCCGCTTTGTGATATCACAAAACCCCCGGAAAACAAACGCTGTAGTCCAAATGCGCCATTCGTTGTAGTTCTTGAAAAGGGATTATTTTTTTTAAACGAAATATCTCCCTTTGGAGTGGACTTTGAGATTTGTAAGTTTGAAGATCTTTTTTATGCCCAAACACACTACACACTGACTAAAATTCAAACAGGGAAAAAGCATAATAGGACCCCTTTAAAATTATATATATATAGATGTAATTAGGTCCTAAATAAGTGTCAAAAAAGCACTGTAAAGTTCATAAATTTTTATTTAATTGGAATTAACATGCAATTAAGTGTCTGAAAACATTACACTACGTTCACATTCAGATTATTCTTTTAAAGTACATTATTTCCATAAGTACTCTTTTTAAAAGTATGCTAAAGTGTGCTTCTTTTTCACAAGGGTACATAAGACAAGCATTTTGGAAAATGTATATAATATAATATAATATAATATAATATAATATAATATAGTGTTAGTGTATTAGTGGTGTGGTATGTAGGAGTGTGTTGGTGTTGAAAATGATGCATCTGGGGTAAACTGTGACACACACCCAGATATGCATTTCTGCAAACAGTCATTCCCGCTGGGAACGCGTTTGATCTACTTGGACACGACTTCTTTTTGGTTGACAGCAGAGGTCCAAGGTGCGACTCAACCCAGCCATGCGTGCGTGTGAGCAGCTGTTTGTCAGCCCTCTGTCCATCGCAAGTGTGCAGTTTCGGATTAGGCCTACTGAGTCAAATAACAAGCCAAGAATACACAGCTGGTTCACACACACCGCAAAAACAACAGAAGGAACGAGACCAAGAGTGCACACATACATGGCATATTAATATGTATCACTGTACTATGAAGATATTTTAAATGGACGAAGTGGAAAAATCCTCTTAAGTTACAGGCATGTATCAGCTGTGATCAGAGGATTTAGACCCCTACTCGGGGGGATGCCAGACTGATTAAACAGAGATTAAACCTACAATAATTCACCCACATCAAACATCTTTGGGGTCCAAAGCCAGATCATAAACTGCAAGCCTTTTGAAACCTCCTCTTGGTGTTGCCTAACTTCCTATGGGCAAGCGGGACAACTATGGATAAAGTTGATTTTTAAAAGCACAAACCCCTGCTGAGAGTCTGAGGCTGTTATCAATGTCCTTTCTGTGAGAGACATAAAACAATTATATAATTATAGACATTAGTTTTCCTACAGCCATCACTGGCCTCTTTACCCACAGCTCTCACAGATCAGTGTGCTGGATATTATTCTGCTGATGTCTTTCAACAGAGGCTATGGAACTAAAATAAAATTGTCAACGCCATTGGCTGCTTTAAAGTGGAAGGAATAAAGGACTCAACCTATTAGGAATTAACTTCTTAGAGAAGGTGCTGTGCTCTTGCATGCTAACAGACTAACAGTAATTGTTGACCCTCTCAATTGATATTACCCTCAAACCCTCTCTAAGAAGTTGGGCATCTGAATTCATCCCCTTTAATGCACCGCCTCTACAGACATCAAAGCCCTGCTCCTGGAACAAATCCTCCTCCTTCACCAGTTCATCATGTTATGCGGTATTTAATACATAATAATATCACGTCATGTATTCAATGAAATAATAATAATAATAATATAACTTGTCTTAATAAACTCACATTTTTTACAGAACCAAGATCCAGCTCATAAAAACTTATATAATCTGCATGCACAATGCTCAGTAATAAAGTAGCAAAAACAGTAATAAGGTAGTAAAATTCTTTAACATGCATTTTTAATATAACTAGATGTTCTATGCATATTTCCAGTAGAGCTGCAAGATTCTGGATAAACTGAGAATCACGGTTTTTTTGTCTCAAATAGATGTAGAAATAACGAAAGACACCCCCGTCTATGAAACAGCTTTTGAATCAATTGTCCAATTACTTATGGTCCCTTGAAAAAGGGGGGAGGTACATTGTAAAAAGCTGTAATTCCTTAACATTTTCTCCAATTTTGAGGAGAATACCCTCAAATTAAAGCACAGAGTGTGCACTTTAAGCCCATATTATATAACTGTAACATGAATGTTTTGGTCAGCAGCTAAAATATAATAAGAATTGTGTCCGTGTCCAAATACATGGCTATATGTGTGTGTGTGTGTGTGTGTGTGTGTGTGTGTGTGTGTGTGTGTGTGTGCGGGTCTATAAACAAAAATTAATATTAAAATGATGGAAAAGTGGTTTGAATGAATGATTCAATGACTCACTCATAAATAGCCTATTTCATTACTGGATGAATCAGCGTTTTTGAACGAATCTCTTGAATGAATGATTCAATGACAAATACATTTTTAACAGTAACTTGTCACAATGTAATCAACACAAACGTTATTTGAAGCGCCAATTACTTTCAAAAGGTGATTTGCTCTATTTTAATCGCTACCATAGTGTTCAAATCTGAACTATAAACTTTTATCCTAGTACTTCTGTGATAATATGAATGACTGTAAGACAGAAAAATACTGTGTAGTTGAAAGGCTGTTTGTGAAGCTGTTTCTTACCTAAACATAGTCACTGTCTGCTCTCTGTGTCAGTGGCAGCGCGAACACAGATTTGAATGTTCCGGTATGATTTTTTCAAAGGTTAAGTAGACACAGACGAATCGCTGTCATGTAGAAATTAGATAGACATTGCAATCTTTTAACGATTAATCGTGCAGCTCTAATTTCCAGGTAACATCCTGAAGTCCTTGTTTCACGCATGTTAATTTTCCAAAAGATTCAGTCTGATTTGTTGTACTGGTTTAAACAGTTCACTAAAAAGAACCATTTCAAAATAATGATTTGTTCACGAACTGGACATCACAAGTATGTTGTTGGAAAACCTAAGCAAACGTTGAGATCTCTTCTGAAGCTTCAGAGAAGACACATATGAAATTACTAGGGTCTTTTTCCTCAGGAGAAAATTATGAGAAGTAGGAGACTTGTTCGTTTACTCTATATTTATTCTGCCTGGGAGAAATAGTTGAGATATTAAAGAGATCTCATTTGTGATTTTTTTTCCTGTGGGATGTCAAGACTGATGATCCATGTGAACTAAATAGGGCAGCACAGATCCAATCAGCTTTGAACATAAACTTTCCCTTCTCATTTCACCAAAATCATACAGAAAATGCATCTCCCCTATTTAGACATGCACACACTCATTAACACCCTGGATTGAGCCATCAGAGGTTTGTTCATCACTCAAGGGAATTGCTGTGACCTAGATCCAGTGGCAACCATAAAGAGCATTAAACACAGGGGAAAACAAAACACTTCTGCAAGTCACACACAAAATGTTCTTTATAAGGGCGAAAACAAAAAATAATGATTCAACTGTTTTTTTTTTTTAGATCCATACTCTACCACAGTGTTTCCCACCCGGGGTGCCGTGTAAAAAAATCTTTTTTAATATTTTTAAATTGCTAAAATGTTCAAAAAAAGCATCTATTATATAATATCCATTTCTGATGTCGCCAATAATTTGAGATGCACCTTCTTCCCTGTTGTACCGAATATCTATACTTTCAAATTATCACATCGAAGTTAGAAATTCAAATATTGTGACAAAATTAATTTTGTAGGGTGCCACAACTTTGTTAAAATTTCCAAAGGGTGCCGCGACTAACAAAAGGTTGGGAAACACTGTACTACCACACAGTTCCAGTGATCTAGCTGAATGCGGAGCTAATTTCAAGTGTGTAGGGCTAATTTGAGCTATGAATTGCACTTCAACAGCCTCAAAGCTCCTGTCGTCAGGTTGCCATGGCTACTTTGGGACTAGACGTGCTGCTGAGTTGCCAATCAGCACTGTAGTTTACAGCAGACACCCACCTGTAATGTCACTAAAACACACTGAAAGAAGAAGGGCACACAGCAGGACTCCAGACACTGGAGAATGTCAAACCGGGAGACTCAAAATGAGTCAGGACATTCATTGGAAACCTGAAGCGCTCTCAGAAAAACAACAACAACAACAACAACAACAACAACTGTATTTTCACTTGTTGTACTGCCTTCACTTTTTCCAATCTATAAAACAGACAACGAATGCACACACACACACACACAGTCTGGATATATATAAAAAATACCTTGCTGATGTGGAACTCCAGTCTTCGCATGTATCGCTCTATGGTCTTGATTTGCTAAGATGCAAGAAGAGAAAACGTCAAAAATTAAAGTTATTCACTCAAAAAGAAAAGGCCAAAGAGAAGAATGTTTTTCAAACAGGGATGAATCTAAGTTCAGAGCCCCAAATTTTCAACACGGCTGACACCTGCGGCGATTAGTGTCGCAATAACGGATGCAGCACATCATTTATGCAAAGCTGCTTATTTTTCCTGCTGCATGTTTCTGACCTCAAACTTCTTAGAAAGGTTAACACAGGTCACCTAAGACAGGTTAAGAAGCATTAGTGTGTTTAGGGACCCTACCTTGTCCAGATCATACAGCACACCCTGAGGAAGAAAAATAGATATGTGAAATCAGTGGAAATGCTACAAAAAAAAAAATCAACATTTTATTATTTAAAAAAATTTTGATGTTTGGACAAAATCCCTGCTGAAAAGAGCATCTTAGATCAGCCTGATGGTCCAGGCTGGTTTATGCTGTTGAATGGCAACAAAATTGAACTGATGAAGTACTGAAAATAGTTGACCAGGGATTTCTCGCTTCTTTTAGCTAGTAAAGAAGTCTGACTCCAGCACACCAGCATCCAACTAAAACATATGCTGCACTGCAATTAATGACTTTTTAATGAGTTTTTAATTTCTTTTTGTACTTTTTTCACTTGTCTTTTATTTGTTTATAATAAAAAGAAAGAAATCTGCCACTGCAGTATGCCAGAATGTCTCCTATTAAAAATACATTCTCTGAAGAAAAGTCTTAATATCTTATGCAGTATTGCTTCTCAAATAAAACATCTTGTTTAAAGCATTTCTAGATATTCGAATACATTATTTCATTACAATATGTTTTTGAAAATGTATAATATGCATAATATATGTTTTGTAAGAATGTAATATTGCGAAATATTATTGCAATTTAAATAACTGTTTTCTGTGTGAATATATTGTAAAACGTAATTTATTCCTGTGATGCAAAGCTGAATTTTCAGCATCATTACTCCAGTGTTCAGTGTCACATGATCCTTTCAGAAATCATGCTGATTTGCTGCTCAGGAAACATTTCTTATTATTATTAAGGTTGAAAACAGCTGTCTTTGTGGAAACTATGATAGTTTTTTCAGAATTATCTGATTGATCAAATTTAATGTGTCCTTGTTGAATTCCTTTTCAGTTTTTCAGCAGGATATACTGTACATTCTAGAGTCATTAACAGTCTTTTTGAGTAAAGGTGCTTGCACACTACAGAAAACTCAGACAGGGTTTGACGGATAGGAATGCACAAGGTTGATTAAATCGTATCAACTCGATTTTGAGGACATTTAAAGAGACTGGTCCAGGAATACACTGAATTGGACTTCTGAAACGGCCTCACTGGCTACTGCTGGTAGATGCTGGAACTACGCAATCTTGTACTCTGACTAAATCAACAAACAACATTTACATTGTGAATAATTCATTATACTACAATGTTTCAACAGTTGCTGATTCGTTTTTGGAAAGTTTATATCCCTGCTCTGCTGCCTTTGACTTAACAACTCATGATATTTGCTCATTGAAATCAATAGATCTGCAGCACTCTGACGCAGTGTAAACCGCAGTGTGTAGGCACGCCGATGATGTCATATCCAGTCTCACCAGTCTGGAGTTCCTCTTCATGTCTTTCATGAGGGAAGTGAGTTTATCCAGCTCTGTTTGGTGCACCTCTAGATATTCACTGACAGAAAGAGAAAATGACAAAGACTTCAGAATGATGCAGGAACAATGGCCGTACACAAAGATTTCATCACAGCCATTCTGAGCAGCAGTGATTCATGCGGTCAATGTGCGCTCAATATGACTGTAGTGAGAGCTGAGAGAGAAGATCTATGTGACAAGAGGAAACATCTGAGCAGCACTCACTCCAGGCCTTGTTTGAGGGCTCCGTAAACTTCTTCCACTCTTTTGGGCTGCGGCTCTCGTGAGCTGCTGCTGCTGCTGGACTTGTGCCCGGACAGATGGGGCTTCCTGGGCTTTGAGATGGGCTTCTTCTGCACTGCTGAGTTCCCCATGAAGGAGTTACACCTGAAAACACACAAACAGATGTGAATGAATCTTAAGAAAACTGTCAAGAACATGTGGTAGTTCTTTGCCACAACAAAATCAGCTAGCAATAAGAAATTATGTTCTGCTTTAAAAAAAAAAAAAAAGCCTTATTTTTACCACCATCACGCTGACGTTTATTAAATCAAAGTTTCTGTGTTGTGCTGCCGCTCATCTGATTTTAAAGTTGAACTCTACTGCATCAAATGTTGCTGTCACTCAACCAGTTGGCAATTTAAAATGATTTCATTTATTTATTTTTTTGCAGTCAGCTGTCAGAGTAAACAAATATTAAGATTGTTTGCATTGTGACAATATTTCTGTAAACATAATAATAATAAATACTTACTTTAAATGCAAAATGCTAATAAAATACTAATAAAATTATTTAAAATTAACATTTTTATTATTGTTATTTAAATAGAAAATGAATTCTATGAAATATATAAAATAAATCATTTCATCATTACAGTAATGAGAATCTTGAAAATAGAAATTAGAAATAAAATATAAAACAGAAATTGCAAAAAAAAAAAAAAAAGACCAGATGCATCACAGTATTATTAAAATATATTTTATATATTAAATAATACACAATTACACAGAAATAATTAAAATAAAAAAATTCTTATTTTTATTCTTTTAATTTGGGGGTGAAATACTGTCTTCCAGTGTAAAAGCCAGAGAGTTTAGTGCAGACTTGAAGCCTGTAGTCTAGTGTTGGCATTTTAGTGCACTTCACGCTGTAATATCCATGCAAATAACCACCCTCTTCTCTTTTGGGAGGCTTCAAGGATTCATGTCACATGCGGATAAAGCTTGTAGTGTTGTACATATTCCTCAGTGCTTCCTGACATTTAAGACTTCTGTCAAAAGACGGGGTACTTATTAGCCTACTTCTGCTGTCACAGTCCACCACATCTAATAATATTCCCGTTTCATAATAACACAATGGCAGTTGGTTGCTCAACATGAACGTGTCTGAACGTGTCACACACAGTCAAAAAAAGCACTGCAAGTAGTGCTACAGTAAATCTAGGCCATTGTGTAGAATGAGCACATGCTGTTGCCTAAGGGTCATCCACTCACGATGCACTGCGTCATACTAAGATAAGCCAGTGTGCCCTGAACAAACACACTCTTTAATGCTGTTACTGCACCCACTGTTTTACACAAACATAATAAGTGGCTCTTTTGCAATTTTGAAGTCTATTTTTACATTCCAAAATCTAGTGGAAAGTCTTCCCAGAACAGTGAAAGTGGTTACTGCAGCAATGGTTTTAAATTGTTTTAGCCTCTGACAGGGCACATGACCTCACCGTGAGCGTCTCTCCTGCAGGGTGCTGAAGCCGGCGAACGACTGGCTCCTGATGATGCCATTGGGCCCTCCAGGAGAGTGAGTGCCAGCAGCCATGATGTCTGGGAAGCGGGAGGACACTCCTGCAAGAGGGCAGAGAGGATTCTGGGTAAGAGAGAAGTCAGTGGAACAGATGGGGGAAGGGTTGTGTGTGTAGAATGATGGTGTTGGGAATGACCAAATGCAAATTTTTAACCAGTACTCCATTTAAAGAGATAGTTCACCCAAAAATGAAAATTTGCTGTTCATTTACTCACCCTCATGATACGAGCATGTGTGAACCAAGCACTTGAATTAAGGTGCGAATTGAAAGTTTTTATGGTGTCTCATGGTTTATTCACTCTATATGCTTTAGACATGTAAAACATCCACATTTCACATCATTAGTCAGTGCTTTACTATAATTGCATTTACGTCATTGTGTGATTCAGTAAACGAACTAGTGAATCAGTTATTTGGACCAGTTCATTGAAACAAACTGTTTGAAAGAACCAGTTTGCGGAAAAGAATTGGATTTCCCTGTTTGGATCACAGGCAATAATGTTGTAAATAATGTTCAGTTTCTTGCACAGACCGATTGTTTCGCTTCATAAGATCAAAATATATCATTCAGGAGCCACGAATATTCATTTTGTTTTACCTGATATGCTTTTTTGACTCTCAAAGTCATGGTAGCCATTGACTTGCATTTTATGAATCACCAGAGACCACAGTTTCAGCTAAAAATCTTCTTTACCGTTTCTTTACTGAAGAATAAAAATCACCTACATCTTGGAAGGCCTGAAGGTATTAAAATTAACAGCATTTTTTAATTTTTGGGTGAACTATCCCTTTAATGACATAGGAAATAATTTCAAACACACTAATAATAAATAATAAACAGTGATTACATTAATGCACTTATAACCGAAGATAAGATTTCAGGGGTTTAAATGCAGAAATGTACAGTTACTCCTTTTGTTAAAACAATAAGAAATGAACTTGATTCATGTCACAGATTTATGTTTGGGTTTTTGCTTTTGCTTTTTTGTATGTGTATGTGGTAATTGATATTACGACAAATGCTGTGATTAACTTAGTGAACCTGACACATTCACCGGATTTTATTTTTTGAAAGATACTGGCTTTCTAACGAAAAGATATCCTGACAACTGTGACTCTAGATCAAAGTACATAAAACCAGCTGAAAATCACACAGGAAAGCAAGCAATGAGTCATTTAATCTCCTGTGTATACAGTTACTGAAAATAGCACTGCTGGGTGAGAAGACCCCATATGGTGCACATTCAGAGGTTTTTATAAAGCGCTCAAAGCCACCTGAGCCCACCGCAGAAAAAGCACTTAGAAGCATAAGGCGGCCTAATGGAGCCCAGAAAGACCAACGTCATCACTCATTTCTATCAAGTGTAATGATCCAGCGAGGGCACAGAAGTCTCCTGCTTACAAAAAGCCTTCAAGATCATCCCTGATCTCCTTATAGCTCATCTCCAACCTCCCATAATTCATCAGAGCAAAGCAGGATAATGACAGCGGCGATTTGAGGGTAATGAGGGTATCTGTGATCATCGATGTGAGAGACTCATTCTGACCCCAGATCAGCATGCAACCTTCGTAGCCCTGCCTGGCACTGATATCTACACCAGAAAAGAGGGAAAAATCTGGGTTTTGCAGTTGGGATTCTCTCCATAGTTGAGGTTTCACACTGTATCCAGGGGCTGTTTGTCGGAGGTAACCATACACCTGTGGGTTTATGCTCAGTGCAATAGGTACATAATTGCTTATAAAAAGCTAAACCAAACCAATACAGCTCTGAAATAGATGTTGTTTGCAGAGGAAAAACAAAAGAGCCTTGTATAACTGGCTATTTATAGGCAATGTTATATTGGTTTTGCCTCTAGAATTAACTAATGTACTGTACATCTTGATCATTTGACAAACACTCAGATCATCTTCATAAACAGGAAAATAAAAGGCAGAAATATAAAAAGAATACACAGCAGCATACAATTCTTGAAGTCTAAAATAACCCATCCAATCAGAGAACTGCTCTAGAGAATGGTGATATTAAATTTTCATATTTTTCAAAATAGGTGTCCCTTTTGTTGTTCTGTGTCCATAATGTTATCAAAACTATAAAGTAAAAACTATACTAGCTTAAAAACGGCACGATTTTCTAAATAAATATTATTTTTATATTAATATTCAAGAAATATTCAGTTATGAACATAAAATATGTTCTAATAAAATAGCGAATTAAAATAATCTACTAAAATAGAATAAAAATGTATGTATATACTGTATGTGCATACACATACATTTTTCATTGTAATATGATATTATGTATGATATGATTCTTTAATATAATACAATGAACATATATATACAGTTGTGCTCATAAGTTTACCTACCCCTAGCAGAATGTGCAAAATATTAATAATTGAAACAAAATAAGAGGGATCATGAAAATTGCATATAATTTTTTTATTTAGTACTGTCCTGAATAAGCTTTCACCTAAAAGATGTTTACATATATAGTGTAAATATAGTATATTTACCGTTATTTCAATTAAATGTATTAATTTACTACATTTTTTATTGAATATTAATAGTGCAGTGTAATTTATTTTGTATCAACTTAATTTATGCATCCAAGGATTAATGCTGAAATCTATCAAAAAAAAAAAACACAAAATGAACACAAGGAAACCAATATAACTAATTGCTTATTTTAATAAACAAAGGTTCCACTTCAGTTTCAAAAACACAAAGCGACACTGTGCCAACCAGTGCATGCTGGGATTGTTCCACTCATTCTATTCAGGCCTAGTCGTCTCGGTTCACAGGCACTTGTGAAGCACCGTTGATGTGGGCTACGTCATCCCCGTCCCTCCGGGCACGACGGCTCATAAGTATTCTGACTACAGCTGCCTGGCACCCAACTCTGAACTCTTCACTGTGAGAGACGGATGACGAGGACAAAAGAACCAGAGAGGGGGGCTTCATTAATTTGTCACCTCCAGCAGGGACCATGTTTATCTGGCTCGTTGAGGGTGTGAGGGGGTCTTGAAGCTGGGCTGGAGAAGTACTGAATAAAAAGTGTGTGTGAGGCAGAGGGGGTCCCTCGTTTCCTCCCAACAGCCCATATTATGAATTCTGACTAGTGTTTTTGTCGTTTTAAGCATAAATCTAAGTTTATCTAGTGAGCTGTTTAAAATAAGAAAGCAACTGCAGAAAAACAAAAAAAACAACAACTCAAGTTATATTCTCTGAAAATAAGAACTAATATCTTACACTCTTAAAAGATACAGTGTCTTTGGTAAGAATGCATAATATATCAGTACCGTATCGGTTATCGGACGATTTAACAGTATCAGTCAATGCTGGATATTTCATTATTCCTGCCTGCTTATTTCCCCAATTTTTATATTTAGAATACTTTTGGTGTCATCTTCCAAAACACTCACCATTTAACAACACTGTTAAATGCAAATCTCAAAATGAATATTAATTTTTCATATTATACACAAATTGTGTGATGCCTAAATTCACTTGTATCTTATAAAAAGATTGATTTAGGATTTTTTTGTATTTTAATCCTTCATTTATCTAGACAAAATATTGAATTTTAATATCTACAATTTATTGGTTATCAGCCATAACATAAAAACGATTAGCTTAAAGTCCGCGTGAACCGGAAGTTGCTGTCGACTTTATTTCAGTGTAGTGACGTATTTCCATCTGAAACAGAATATTTAATAGAGGGCATGGTTTTATTTTTGCGCTCCTCCTCTCTGTCTCTCACTCATAGCAACCTAACGGTTAGAGGGGTGTGTTTAAGGATATTCTGCCCAAGCCATTAACTGACTTCATCAGAAAAGGAATGCCATTCCAGAGCGGAAGTAAATGTTCAGATTTTGATTAAAGATTACGAAGACAAACAATTTTTTTCAGCGGATTAACTTGCACGGATTAATTGTTTACATCAAGACTAGCAATGTGCGCTAGTAAAGTAAATAAAGTCCATTTTGATTTCATGCAGACTTTAACATTTCAGACAACTTTTAACACTAGTGCAACTCAAGTTTTAAAGGGATAGTTCAATCAAAAATTAAAATTCTTTCATCATTTACTCACGCTCAAGTTGTCCCAAACCTGTATGACCAAACAGCTGACGGTAGCCATTGTCTTCCATAGTATTTTATAATCATACTATGGAAATCAATGGCTACTGTCGACTGTTTGGTTACCAAGATTCTTCAAAATATATTCTATTGTGTTCAATAGAGGCTAGAAACTCATACAGGTTTAGAACAACTTGAGGGTGAGTAAATGATGACACAATTTTTATTTTCCGGTGAACTAGCCTATCCCTTTAAGTTTGTTAGAGTATTTTTACTGAAAAAACAAAAATGGATGCGATTAATATCAAACAAATAACATCAGGATTTTATAGATTCCATTTCCTTTCTGCACTTCAGTGCTTGGAAAAGTAATTTTATTTCCCACGCAAGCACGTGTGCACAGCCGCATGCACACGTGGACACTATCTGCACGCGTGAATATCATCAAACTCAACCCACACTGCAACTTAACAGCAGCACGATTCCTAAAGGCTGTATAAATTATAGTTTCTATAGTAACAGCAGACAATGCACAATGTGTCCAGTAAAAGAGCACTGTTATCATGGATCCCCCACAGCAGGCCTCCTCCTGTCCTTCTGCTCTGAGGACCCATTGTCTTCCCCGGTCATTTGCTCTAAGATAGGAGTTCAATCCCAGCAGCTGTGTGATGCTCAGCTGGTCTTGTTCCACACTCTCCACTACGCCTTGGAAGAGCGAAGAACTCATTTCAAACATCCATGCCAACTGTCAAGCATGTGGCAGTGACCGACTGACCCTGTTCTACTCATGCTGTAGTAATGTGTGCTTTGGCCAGTGTCACCAAACGGCCAGAACAAGGACCTGCAAAACCACATACACTCAAAATCAACAAGTCTATTGGTTGACTCAATGACCAAATATGTCATCACAAGTCTGACTTTATTATAAGCACAAAGATTATAAACACAGTGAAACATGATTC